CTGTTGTTGGCCTGTAGAAAAATGTAATCATAAGAAATGACTCCGGAAAAGCTGCAGATAGAGCCATAAGAAATTAATGCAACTAATTATTTAATGTTGTTTTTATAGGCAATAATTTAAGCTTTGTTAGTTCCAGGTTTAATATGTGCAATACGTTCATTTCAATAAGTTTTGCAATAAACATTGAACCAGTCCGGCCCTCGACTAGTACCGATTTTTACATTTTGGCCCACTGTGTATTTGAGTTAGACACCCCTGCACTAAATCATGCTGTTTATGTTTATTCACTAGTTCCCCCAACATCCCCAAAGTGTTGGGTTGAAGGCCCGGAGGAGAAAGGTGGTCCCGTCTCCCTCAACTGCAAATCTCGTCAGGGATCCATTCCTCTCTCTTACACGTGGAGGAGAGAGAGTGGAGGTGCGATTCCAGCTGACGCCATCCAAAGTGAGCTTGACAGACAAAAAGGCTTTTCTATTATACTTTCATGATGTTTATCTTATATAATATGTCTGTACTAAATGCTGTCGCCTGTCATTTAGACCTAGAGACTGGAGAGCTTTTGATAAAGAACCATACGGACAGCAACATTGGAATTTACGCGTGTGAGGTGAAAAATGCCGTGGGCAAAGGACAGTGTAAATATGCACTGCATGCATACAACCGTAAGTCATCATCTATTTTTACTCTCAAGTACTTGGCACTCTTTAATTCAAGATTTTATGTTTTATACAGTACATGCTTTAGAGTATTTGCTGCAGTCTTTTGGCAAGTCTATTGAGGAACCACAAAAAGGAGAGCTGCACTTGTTTGATCTTAAACATGTGTCTAGGCCTGCAAACATGTGATTCAATAAGCCATTCAGGTTTGCAGTTTTTCTTGCAAGCTTATCCAGACAGACTGGGCTTTTGGGGAGGGGGCCTTAAAGAGACAGTTGTTTGCATTGTGTTTCAGACTGAGGGTGTATACAGGTATATTCAGACTGACAGAGGAAAAATCTTACACCATTTCTATTCTTCCAGCTACCAATAAGGTGGGTATCATAGTCGGGGCGGTGATAGGTGCCCTCCTGCTGCTGCTCCTCCTTCTGCTCCTCATCTGGCTCCTGGTCTGCTGCTGCAATAAGCGTCGCTATGAGAAAGAGGTTGAAAATGAAATAAGGTATTACACCAGAGCCGGAAACAATTTCAATCATGCATGAAATAGTCTCAAAATTATTTAAAAAATCATCTCACGGAGACCTGTGTGACTTGCTTCCTCAGGGAGGACGCCCCGGCCCCAGAGAGCAGACCCACCAGCAGACCCACCAGCAGAAACTCCAGCAGACACTCCAGTTTACGCTCAGTGATGGCGTACCGCACCCACCCAGGGGTGCAGTACAGCGATGTGAGGAAACAGCTGCCCAGTGTCAGTGAATCGGCCCACGGTGGCGTCTACGCAGGGGAGAGTAACGGCAGATCACAGCCAAATACTGAGGGTGGGCGAGCCTCCCTCAATTATGACAATCGATTCGGATACGCTGTGTAACTCCCATCCACATGCATGATAGACTTTTTTATTTTAATATGAAACAACGCCTGCTGAAGCGAGGACTTTTTATTTTTATGAAGACTTTCTATTTTAAGTATAACAATGTTTGTAAAGAAGTCTATATGACAAACTGTGCAATACATATTGAGAATAATGGGAGTATTGGTATACTGTATGACTACGGGGGACTTTCTTACCTCAGCACTTGGACAAATATAAATGTACAGCTTCATGATTCGCTGTAGCAAATCACTGCTACTGAATAGGTTCTCATTGTTACACAGCTTTTCTAAAACTGTATGTAAAATGTATATATTAAAATACTTGTATTTTTATGGGTGCCTTTTTCTATGATGCACATGGAACCCAATCAATTAATCTCTTTTTTTGTATAAATGTGTACAATTAAACATTTTTTTAAACTAAGATGTCAATTAAGAGAGTACCAACCTCTTCCCATTTACACACATTTAAAAATATCTCCCTTTCCCAGGATAAGGAATGTAACAATCGCTCTGAAAAAATTCAAACTGAGTTTGAATTAGTCATAACATTTAGTTTTGAACATGCAAATATATAAAAATAATATATAATCCAAAGGGTCATTCGTGCAAATAGAACTTAATAAGAGGAGTTTGTGTTGTGGAATGTGTTCAAATGAAGATGTCACAAGACTAGGTGTTATAATATTTGACCTTGGTGCATGAACATGGTCAGACAAACATCAATGTATGTCTGTCCAGTTATCTGTTTTCGTTGTCAGCCGAGTGGAAGATTTTTTTCAGGGCTCGGTTACTTCAGGGTGACCAAATCTGCTCGATTTTAAACCAGAAAACCCATCCAAACATGTTATTTTATTCTCGCTCGCTGTCATAGATTAATAATGAAAGATGTTTGCTTTATTGGTCATTTTAAATATACATTTGTAGGTTACTGAGCATGATCTGTAATCATTACAATCATATTTTCATCATGAAGACTTACCTGTACTTATATATGATGAAACCTAATCAAATTTAAATAATAAAATGAAAATAAGTTAAAGTTTGTGAAGAAAAAGACCCACACCAAATATAGTTTGTCAGACAAAAAGGATAAACTCAACTTAAAGATTTTAACTTAAAAAGCAAACGTATGAAACTGACTGGATCTGGATTATTATTAAAAAATGTCTTTCTAGTATATGGGGAAAACCTCACCAAACATAGACCAACATCACTGTTTCATCATCATGGAGGAGTATACATATTTTGAAGCACAATGAAGAACAAATTGAAGCCAGTAACAATGCAGGAGCGCACATATTAAGAGATGATGAACATTATGCACCTATCTCGTATAATTGCATGATCAGCATTTAGCCAATGATATGAATACTGATCATGGTCTTAACCCTCCTGTTGTCTTCGGTTCAAATCTGACCGATTGAGTACTTTCATCAATCATAACTTTTTTATTTTACATTCGATTGCATTAAGGCTTTACGATATCCTTCACAGTAGACATTTGAACATATAAAACTGCTGATCACCACTTTCATTTGATGATTTAGTCAACTTTGTAACACCATGTTGTTCCCGGTCAAAAATGACCGCCATAAAGAAAAGGAATTAGTAACCATCCGGATCAGATAATACACACACACACACACACACACACACACACACACACACACACACACACACACACACACACACACACACACTCTAGATGTGTGTGTGTGTCCCCCCCCTTATGTACCCAATCACCCCATTTGAATCACACCTGGCACTCACAAACAGACACACACAGAACAATTTGACACATTTCCCGCTCTTATGTGCCCATCCCCCCACAAGGATCACTCCTGGCACACACAATACATGTTCAGTGTTGTATGTACTGCAGTTTTTCATGTATACCAGTAGTCTGATACAATACGTACAGTTTGAAAGGGTGTTAAATGAAATTTGGTGATGATTAATGTTTTTTGTGTTAATGTAATAGCAGTTAAAACAGGACCAGCCTAATTTGACCGCGAACACCAAAGTAAGGGGGGGGAAACGAAGACAATAGGAGTGTTAACTGTCTGCTCATTTTGTTTTCATTTCAAAATAAGAGCCTATGTTACCAAGGACAGGAGAACTTCCTTTATTAATTTAATTAAATCCTCAAAACTGCTTGTAAAAATATACAAGTTTAGCCTGATGTCGGATTTTTAACTCAGAGTTAGTTAAGCACCATCTAAAGAACAAGGTCCAGTAATGTAATGGATAAATACAAATACGATGTTTTAGCTGCACATGAAACATAATATCGGGAAACTGACGGTGAAGTAAATCTTTCCCTCTGATCCTCTTATGGATATTTGCCTCCTGGATTTTCTTTCATTTGCAGAACAAAGTACTGCAAAATGGTCTCGTTTGAGTTGTGTGCTTCTCCCATTTTTGCTCAGTAGCCGGTAAACTAGTTATTAGTCGAGTATTTGAGGCAGTAACCTGCAGCTGCCACTCTCAGAATCCAGAGTCAGCAGCGTGCCTGCAGACCCAGCGCTCATCTTCACTGGCCTAGTCCCATCTTCAAAAGATGTACGTTGAATTAATAAGAGCTGCAAGAAGTGGTGAAGGTTGGTGAGCCCTTGGTAATAACTTCTGCCAAGGGCCCCTAAGAAGTCCCATCCCCCTCTGCAGCAATCTGTAAAGACTGGTAATTTGTTGAGAAGAAATGAAAAAGCATAAAATTATACTTTTAGACACGCTTTCCTCTCTTTTAGATAAGCTTTTCTTCAAAAGTCAACCAGCAGCACACACAGCCCAAAAATAAACACACATAAACAAACACACTCTGACAAACATGTTTGCTATGTCTCTGCATTGTTTGACTATTTGTACTTTTTGTCTTCTCATAAAGACAAATTGCCAGCTGTCTACGTTTGTTTATTTATGTCCATGTCAGTGCGTTTCTGTTTGCTCAATTCAAAACAAAGTCAGAAAGTGTTTATCCAAAGGAAGGACCACTTCTCTGTCTACGCTTTTCTGTCTGTCGATCCTTTGATCCCTGCATGAACCGCAGAAATAGATACACTAATGAATTACAAATACTTGTCTGGCAACCCCCACTTAGAAACCACAATATATTTTCTTTTATTAATAAGTTTCTTAGAGGGCAGAACTTCTCACTGTGTGGGCATAATCATTATTTTCCTTTAAAGCAAAGCTCCCACTGTGAACTTTCTTTCACATCTAAACTCAAAGAGTTTCTGCATGAGATTGAGCTTTTTCATGCTATTGTGCATAAAGGCGGAATTTGTCCTTGAAATATATCTTTGTATTGTGTGGTATGAAATCGACAACTCATTATGAAACCAATTTTTCCAAGTTAAGGTGCTATTCATGAAGAAAGACATGAAGACCTTGGTAAGCCATGTAACAGTTCATTACTAACATCCTTTCGTCCAATTTGGAGTCACATTTTCCAAAGATTAGCACGCCTGTCTGTTGTGGTCCATACCATTAACAATCACGTAAAATTCCTGTATTCTTTTTCAAAGGAATAATCAGTGAGTCAACATGTTCTTTACAAACCAGCTTACTCAGTGCCAAAATGACGGATCTTAAGGTCTTATATAAATGCTTGCAAGCGGGCATGCTGGTATTAATACTTATGTTCAGAACATTGCACAGTATAAAACCTCGTCGTCTTGAACATCGGCTCAACAGGCATACTGAAAAGCTGATAAGAATTGTTTGGCGGATGTTGGTGTAACATAGACTGCCAGGCGTGGATATGGGATGGCAAGCGCTTCTATCCAATAAACACACAGAGAGGCAACACACATTCAGATGTACTCTTTCTAACCCTATGGATTAGAACAGCAATGTGCATTTTTTATAGTTTTTATTTTTTCCTTCGGCGCCCTATTTCTGTGTCTGTGTATTTGATTTTTCTACATTTGGAGCCAAAGGCTATGCATGTTGGATGTTTTGTTGCTTACTGCTAGCTTTGACTGCAGCATATCTGTCACTCTTATTTATTTATTTTTTTGTCAATTGTAAATAAGTAAAGTAAAGATGATTAAATCACGTTATACTGTAGGCAGAAATTCATACATCAATTTCAGGAACAGATTTATTGCCACGTAGGTTTACACATACGAGGAATTTGGTGTGAATATATGAAGAGTGGAAAGCTGAGCAGATATTAAGAGGACAGAGGTAACCAAATGTTGCTTTTATATTGTTTGTTGCATCCATGCAGAATGAAACGTGAAAATAAGTTTTGTAACACCATCAACTGATAATTATTTGAAGGGGTTACTATGGTTGATTAAATTGTCCTTTTATTGAAAGAAAAAATGTGCTTGTGTTTTAAAAGATGTATATGATTCTTGGTTTGTGTAGAGTTAGTGTAGTGTATATGTAGAGACATTTCTTTTTTACAATTTGAAATGAATGGTTGGTTATTTAATGATCAAATTATGGTTTTGAGCTAAACATAAACCACACGGCTAATTTTGTGGTGCATGTGCGTTGCTGTGTTTTGAAAGGGAAAAAAAGTAATTGGAATCCTGTTTGCTTTATTTAATAGGTATGCGTGTAAAAAAAGCAAACCAAAAACATCTGAAGGAAATCTAAACTAAAACATAATTGAAGTCACTTCTTAGTTCTTCTTGTTCAAGTTAGTGTCCTCCGAGGCACGCACTCCAGTGATAAGGTGATGCATTAGCAAGGCTCCTGAAGGTGATTCAAAGGTGATTTGCTTTTCTTATCAGGTAAATAGGGGTGTGTGTGTGTGTGTGTGTGTGTGTGTGTGTGTGTGTGTGTGTGTGTGTGTGTGGTTTTGTGTTTGTAAATATGTGGCCAAGCTGCACGAATAGCCATTTGCATGCACCTGGTGGTCTGCGGATTGGCTCTCTCATGCTGCACTGATGGACATACAGTAAAGTCATGGGATAATAATAATGAGCACGTCCCCTGCTGCCCCGTGTCAATGCAAATACACCTCCACCACTACCTGTGGTCATAACTGATGCAAATACCCAATGCCTATATATAAATCCCAGTCAAGGAACGCAAACAAATTCAAGGATTTCACCTTGCTTCCCGCAGTCATCTTCAGGCCAGGATTAATGCTTGGATTAACCGCACAAAGGATCCTTCTGCAACGAAAGGTAATAAGTCAACATATTGTGACAACTAGCAGGCACAGAGCGTGTAAGCAGAAACAACAGCAGCGGTCGAATATACTTTTTTCTTACTTATGAAGAGACAGAGTGAAATTACCCAAAAGTATTCAGTGTAAGTCATGACAAGAGTGGTAAGACTCTTTAAATGCAGGGAAATGCTGCTTCAATGATCACTTTTTTTCTTCCTATTTGGCAAAAGCTGGACCATTTTTGCCAAGTAGAGAGGAAATAATTTCAACCCACAGTTCCTTGGTGCTGCGATTTTTATAACAACATTAGGCAGTCAATAACATAAATGTATATATAGATAAATGGCACACATCCATCTTTGTCCACCATCACGTAAGTGCAGTCATGTTCTTTTAGCACTGCGGTTATCTTTTCCTAAGTCCAAAATGGTTAGAATAAGACATGGGACGTCTTCCTTTGACGATCTGACGACAGCCCTAAAGTAGGATTCAGAGTGATGACAAGCCTCAGCCTTCCCATGGAGGATTTGTTTTGAGTTAAAAATGTATGTTTCTTACCCTAATTGTTCTAACCTTCTCATCTCAGCTGCACTTGACGTTGTTTTGCACATTAGATTCACATACGTATATTCTTCACCATAGTAGAATATTTTTCGTAATTGAGTCTATTTGGATCGTCTTTCATAAGCTAAATATGTGAATCTTTTCCCTAGGCTGCAACGACAAACCGTGACTGATTCCCTTCTTTGAAAGCAGAAACGAAGAAGCCTCTGGTTTAGAGTATCATTTTTTGCCTTCTTGATTTCTCTTCGAACGAGCCAAAAAGAAAAAAATAACACTTGAGAAGCCTACACTGACTAGTGAGGCCCCATTAAGATTTCCTGTGCAGATATATTTGGGGTAACATTGTCATTATGTATATGAATAAAGTCGCCATCTGGGTAATGACGGGTCTTTTGGCTACCACGACCGTCTTCTTTAATGTCTACATCTTCCTGATGAGTATATGGAACTACAGGCAGAAAAAGAAGTGGAGTCCCTCTGAAACCATCATCCTAGCTCTGTCCGTGGCTGACGTGGCCCACCAGCTGATCTGCTACTTCTGGATGACCATGGATGAGGTGGACAGTAAGTGCCTCATTGACCAGAGGCCTTACACCGTCATGCTGCTGTTGATCTACAGCCTCAAGTTCACCATCATGTGGGACACCAGCTTCCTCACTTTTTACTACAGCACCAAGCTGGTGAGCACGCCCAACCACTGCTACACACAGATCCAGGACGCCATCCTCAAACATGTGACCTTGGCTGTTTGTCTCATCCCTCTGTTAGGGCTGGGCACCTGCATGCCGATGCTCGTGGTGTTTAAATCTGACAACATCACCGCTGCTAACAAAGACTGCGGGATTTTGACGCCCACCAACAACATTGGCAACGTCTACGAAGCCATGTATCTGATTCTCTCTGATGTGCTGCCCGGGGTGCTGATGGTGAAATGCTGCTTCTCCATCTCCTTCCACCTGGCCGTCCATCTCCGCCAGATGAAAGCCAGCACCAACGGAGCCCACAGGCCAAAGCTGGGCTCTCAGATGAGGGTGATCCAGATGGCTTTATCTCTAGTGGCTGTCTTCATCCTCTTCCTTGTCATCGACCTGTATGTTAACTACCAAATATCGGTGAACCACGAGAACATCGTCGGGCTCACGTTCTTTTTCACGTCCATCTACACGACTGTCACTGCGATGGTGCTGATCTACGGGAAGAAGACTTTCTGGAAAGCTCTGATACATGAATTCAACGTGTGCCTGGATGAATATCCGTGCTTGTATTGTCTGAAGGTGCCTGAACAAAAAGCTAAACCCAGCACTCCTGAAAAAGTTAAAACCTGAGACACACATTTGCTTCTCACAGGAAGTGTTTGTGCTGAATAAATGTGTCATTGTGTGAACTCATTAAAAAATAATTAAAAAGTCACTTATTTTATCCTTTGTGTGTCTAGCAGTTTCGGTAATGACCAGTGCCCTGCTTTAACAATATTAATTACATTTAAAGGTAACTGTGTTAAGTCAGGTATTCGCTCAAATGACACACAGATCACAGAGGCAAGGTTACCAGCTTTCAATCCAAATCACATAAGTCTGCACCTATGAATATTAATATTTCCGGAGAACAAATAATAGTCCGTAAAATAGATCCCCAAGGATGGATGCCTGGACAACTCAGTGCCCATCTAAAAATGTTAAAAAATACATGTGGCAGTGCTACAGAGTACAGAGTATATTAATAAAACAGGAAAGTAGGCACAGTCTGAATTCTCTATTATTCTTTTCATCACAGACCTTTTTAAGAGTTTTCACCTCAGCGAGCTTGCAGGTAGTTCAGACAAAAGGAGCATTTATGTAGAAAAGTACTTATTATTGCCACCGTCTTTTGTGAATCTGTTCATTGGTCAGAAATGCTCAGGCGTGTGCTCGACAGCTCCCAGGTGTGATTGTGTGTAACTGTGTGTGTGAAGCAGGGCGGTCCTTAAAAGTGCAATCATTCCCAGCACATCTACCCTGGGTAAATATGGGTTTAAAAAAACATCAGCAGACCTCTTTGCATTGCTCCATTAGCTCACACCCCCTGGCATCCCCCAGTGAGGTTCAAAGCAGAGATACAATAGTGCAGCTAATCCCACTCCGTGCATAAGATCAGGATCCCTCCCGCAGCTAAATGGACAAAGTAAGAAAGGGCATATCTTCCTTTGATGCGAAGAGAGTTAAGTTGTAATAAGGACTCGGCTTCCTTCCCATGTCTCCCTCACTCTGTTGGAGGGAGTTGGGTTTGGCATGATCAGGGCAAAAACCGCTCAATATGATACAATACTGGCCAATATGGATGCAATACTCCTGAATGTTATATAATTTATTCTCTATCTTCTTTTATTTATTGGGAAGTAACAGTAATAAAAGTCCCATATCAATATTGAAAATAATGTCTATTACAGATGAAAGCATTACAAATGTATTTAAAATGTAAAAGTAAAGGAAATCATTTTGTAGATTTTCCCCCAAATTGCCAACATATAAACGCACAATATATGACATGATTATTAGCTTGTTGCATTCGAGTAGAAGCGTCATTACTGTTGTAGCGGAGGGCCAGGTCATCACGTTAACTTTACAGGTAGGACGTTTACTGCATTGGTTCTTAACTTAGGGGTCGGCCCCCTTTAAAGGGTCTCAAGATACATCTCAATTTGACCTCTCAAACCTTCTTTTTGTGACCAGCTGTTTATTGGTTCAGCCCTCCCTTTTACATTCTTTATGGATGAGACACCACACAGATGAAAAATCAGCCAGCTGAAATATTGTGGTCATACTGTATCACACAATATTTCCACACCTACTCACCAAGGCAATTCACATATGCATTAACAATGTACAACAATGTACAGTCACAAAGCAACATGGAATACAATTTGCTAAAATTGTTATTTCATACATCTGAGCCATGTAGAGCAGAAATATGTCTGCAACTGCATGATGCTTCAACATGGCTTTATTATTGATGATCAATGGCTTGATATTTTTCTATATTTTGTGTATTATATATTTTTTAGTTTGTTCATTGAGGTTCTGGCACCTTCCAGTTCTGAATATACAGAAACAAATGTTTTCATGTACAGTACTGTTTTAACTACCTTTATAGACAGAAAAACAGCAGGAATAGCCACTTCACAAACATGATACCAAAAAGCTTTTCCAAAGGGAGTATTCTTAGTACATCATACCATTCACCAAGTGCAGGGTTGTCTTTAGAAATACAGGATTTGAGAGGTCTTTCTTGCAAATGTATAAGTGTTTCAACCAATGTTGCGTTGGTTGTTCCTTGCACTGGCCACTTTAGCTGCCAAAATACACAGAATACATGACAGCTCAAAATCATATCCAATCCACATAACCACTTCATCCTTCACATGCTTTTTTTAGCACATTTCCAAAAACGAGCAAGTGTGCCAATTTATGACTTGCATTAAGAGCTCTTAGAAAAAGACTTCTTCTCAAAAACGAAGAACGACTATTGAATGTTCTAGATTTGTACATCATGTTTTTTAATGTAACGTTTTAATCTGAAAAGTCACTAGCTGTAGCTGATTCTTATATATATTTTTTAATATTGAAGTATAAAGAAGCATAAACTTAAAATGCTCTAGAAATGTATCTTAAAATTGTAAATGCGCTAGTTTATGTTTGACAGCTGTTTATGATATTAAAGGGTTTGCAACCATCGGTGTGCTTAATATCTGATAAAGTCATTAATTATGAAGTACACATGCAGCTGCTGTTTTTTATTATGTATATTTAAGATTAATATTTTACTACTTTCATCTTGAACATTTGGCCCACCCATTACTTATTTATTGTTTTAGTCTCATGTTATTCTAACCCATGGCAGAGGAAGATTTTAAGTTTGTCACTTAAATCTGTCTGTAAAAGATACATTTTCATGTGTTTGGACAACAAATATATTTGTTCTGTCTTTTTCTATTCTGCAGGAAAACTTTCCAAAAGCAGTTTTATTGTGAAGGTGATGGAAACTGTGTGTGACTTCAGACTCAAAAACAACTCAAAGTTAGACACAGATGCATCATTGGTGTATTGTCAGTTGAGGAAGCTGTAAAATGTCTGCAATGTACATGAAAGGATCGAGAGGATTTAGATGGATGTCCTCCGATTCTACAGCATGAAGCTGTAAACATGTTTAAAGTATGCAGATTGTTTCCATGGAGATGTTCCTGTGCATCCAGCCAAACCTGCAACGCTGCTCTCCTGGCATGGTTGAACATCACTTCAAATGCTTATAGCTCCCGAGACTTGCGGGAAGAGTGATATCCCGTACTTCACCATCTGACAGGAAGGAACAGGCCATTAGCATTCAAGATTACCAGCACCCATCACACAACTTCCATAAACATCTCATAAACTCCTCCCTGCAGGCAGCCTCCCCAGATGAAGCTTTTTTAGTTAAAGAAGCCTTATTTTCCTACACTGACTCTAATTGTATTGGAAGTAGCATAAATCCAACAAGTCCTCCAACTCATACGACCAAATATGCCGATTGTTCAGGCCCAATTATTACGATCAAATATGTCGTTTGTTCAAGCGCTTAATACGTCCGATAATTACGTTTTAAAATGTTCGCCCTCTAGTGCTCCCGTTGAATGCAAACGTTACAGATGGTCGTTTATTCACAAATAACCCTCTCTGTAAAATACTAAATTGTAGGATAGTTTGGCCATTAAAACGCTTTTTGATTTTCACCCACGCTAACTTTACATGAGTACATATTAATAGATGGCACAATGATGCCCCCTTTACCTCCACATTGTCTGGTTCTGCCACAGGATGCTGGATGTTTCCCATGTGCCACAACTGATTAGGAGTTAAGTTTCCCTCAGTTCTGAGTGGGTGGTTATCCCAACCACCACAAAATATATCAAGACTAGCTTGTAGTCTGGGCAGAAAAACGTAATGACAACTGAAGAGGTGTGCAAAGTTTGACAGGTCAAGCAAACCATCATCCTCTAGCGAGTGCAGCATGTTGTAGAATACGTTGGTCACAGCACACCACACGTCCCTCCAGAAGCGTTCAATTCTGGAAGGATAGTTTGTAAGATAAGATATGGTTTACATACATTTATGCTTCATATTTTTATTATTTCATGTTTTTTAACCAGTGATGGAAGTTAAAACTCTGAAAGTAAAATGGTTGTTCCAATTAAGTGATCAATTATTTTGTGGGGGATACTAAGGCCTAACTTGTTGGTCCAATTAGTCAATAAATATTGCATGTAAAATAATTTAATTCAAATTTTCACAGAAATTGTTCTCATTTAAGTTCATTTTCTGGGCCAAATTCCCTAGTGCATATAGATACCAATCGTTAGCCAGTTACGTTGTGTAAAACATGAGATGCAGTATTTAGTATCAAAGCATGGAGGTCCTGCACTTTTTCAAGAAAGGCATGATCCCTGAAACCATGCCTTTGAAAATTATGTCACAGCAGTTGATACCTTAATTAGAAACTAGTGAGGGTAGTGTCGGTGTCAGCGGAGATATTTCCTATGCAAATTTAGGAAAAATAAATTGAAAAATCTGTAGTACAGGAGGCCACGTCGTTTGTTGGTTAGACCGGAGTTGTCGGGAACGGAAGAAAGTGTCTTAGTCACCTGTCTATACCCTAAAGGTAATTCCATTCACTGTATGTACCAAGGAAAGTTACAGTTTGAACTCTGCTTCAGTTCTGACGCCCCATGTAAAACTGTGGGGTATAAATTGAAATCTTATTGTCTCTAATCCCTGAGTCTCACCAAGTACCTGTTAATACCTTGAGTTATAAATGATTTCTATTTCTTGACTTTCCAAAGTACTAATAGTACAAAAACAACCGAAAATATTATCACACAGATATACTATACAAATATTTCTATGTAAATTTCTGTTTCTCTTCTATTTACCAAACCTGGTGTAAAATTAGGTTTGTGATATTTACGATAAGTAAACCATCCCATCTCGTCTAGTGCCTCAACTCTTGCAACTGTAACGTGCCGACTAACAGAGACAGTCCCCTTGTCTTTCCAGGTCAGAAGTGCGACTTTCTCACACGTGTTGGTTTCCGTCCAAGTCAGCGGTGAAGAGTTTCGATCAAAAAAGAAAAACATAGTAGCGTTGTAGTAATAATGAACTTACTATAGCGTCGTGACACAGTACAGTTTCTCTAAACCTCTGGTTAAGAACTTTGTAAATAGAAA